AGACGTGTCATACATGGCCTCCAATTGTAGTTGTACTTTTTTCCCACTCATTGGTCCTTGTCATGGTTTGATTGCTTTGACAGATTCCATAACCACAATCTTAATTAATCCGGCTACTAGAAATTTCAGATTGCTCCCACCTAGCCCTTATGGTTGTCCCAAAGGTCTTACCCGGAAACAATCTCAATCTTGAGTTGTATAACAACACTAGCTCTCCGGATCTGAAGTTTCGGTCCACGATGTGCTTGTCATGCATTAGTTTCATTCATTCTTTGTATAATCTAGCACTCTCTAATGCCTGGAACCTGGATTCCTCTAGCTCATGTAACCCAGTGACTCTGTTAGTGCCTGCTGTCTCCATGTCTAAGTTCAACTGCCGCAATGCCCAAAGTGCTTTATGCTCGAGCTCTACCGGAAGGTGGCATGCCTTTCCAAACACCAACTTGTATGGTGACATACCAATTGGAGTTTTGAAGGTTGTACGGTACGCCCACAATGCATCATCCAGCTTCTTTTCCCAATCGGTCCTTATTGCATTCACTGTTTTTGTAAGGACACTTTTAATCTCCCTGTTGGACACTTCAACTTGCCCGCTCGACTGTGGATGGTACGGGGTGGTCACTTTATGATGAACTCCATACTTTTCCAATAGCCGTGCGAACGCTCTAGCAGAAATGGGTTCCGCCATCACTGAGTATAGCTCTCGGGGTGCCAAAGCGTGTGAAAATGTTCTTCTTTAGAAAGCCTGTTACCCCTTTAGCATCATTGGTCGGGAGAGCCACTGCTTCGACCCACTTGGAGACGTAGTCAACTACTACCAATATGTACTTGTTGCCATACGAGCTGACAAATGGCCCCATGAAGCCGATCCCCCACATGTCAAAAACCTCCACCTCTTGAATTGTGGTCATTGGCATCTCGTGTCGGCGAGATATGTTGCCTGTCCTTTGGCATTCATCGCAACTTTTTACCCAAGCATGGGCATCCTTGAACAGAGTTGGCCAATACAAGCCCGACTCCAACACCTTAGCTGCTGTCCGAATTCCTCTAAAGTGTCCACCATATGGTGAAGCATGGCAAGCCTGCAAAACAGAATGTTGATCTTTCTCGGGGATGCACTGCCGGGATCATGTTATCTATACATATTTTAAACAATAGAGGTTCATCCCAATAATAAGACCGACAATCACGAAAGAACTTTTTCTTTTGAATTGAGGAGAGTTCATAAGGTACAATACCACTTGCTAAATAATTAGCAATATCAGCATACACGGTGCCTCCTCATTGTCATTGCTAGTAACTGTTCATCCGGGAACGTCTGTTATATCCTCAACCTCTACCTTCTTTTCAGCTCCTTCCAACCTTGAGAGGTGGTCAGCTACTTGGTTCTCTGTGCCTTTTCTGTCACGTATCTCCAGATTGAATTCTTGTAACAGAAGAACCTAGTGAATCAAGCGTGGCTTTGACTCCTTCTTTTCTATCAGGTACCTAATTGCTGCATGGTCAGTGTAAACAATAACTTTCGAGCCAATCAAGTATGACCTGAATTTGTCGAATGCAAAAACGACAGCCAACATCTCCTTTTCCGTCACGGTGTAATTGAGTTGTGCACCGCTTAGCGTTCTACTTGCATAGTAAATCGGGTGCATCAGTTTATCCTTTCGCTGCCCTAAGACTGCTCCTATAGCATAGTCACTTGCGTCGCACATGAGCTCAAACGGTTGCTCCCAGTTGGGCACAACAATGATGGGTGCAGTTACCAATCTCTTCTTCAACTCCTCAAATGTCAACCTGCAATCATTAGAAAACACAAAGGGGTGATCCTTTTCAAGGAGTTTGCATAAGGGGTTAGCAATCTTAGAGAAATCTTTTATGAATCGCTTGTAGAACCCGGCGTGCCCAAGGAAACTTCTCACCGCCTTGACTGAAGTAGGCGGTGGCAACTTCTCAATCACGTCAACCTTAGCATGGTCAACCTCGATTCCCTTACTAGACGCTCGATGCCCCAAGACTATCCCTTCTTGTACCATAAAATGATACTTTTCCCAGTTCAGCACTAAATTTGTCTCCACACATCTTCTGAGCACTCTTCTTAAGTTGTGAAGACAATCCTCGAATGAATCCCCCACTACGGAGAAATCATCCATAAAAACCTCCATAATGTCCTCCACCATGTCTGTGAAAATGGCTAACATGCACCGTTGAAATGTCGCCGGTGCATTGCAAAGCCCAAAAGGCATTCTCCGAAAGCCAAAGATGCCATACGGACAAGTGAATGATGTTTTCTCTCTGTCTTCGGGGGCTATTGAGATCTAATTGTACCCCGAATATCCATCCAAGAAACAAAAGTAAGATCGCCCGGCCAGCCTGTCCAACATTTGGTCAATGAATGGCAGAGGGAAGTGGTCCTTCCGGGTGGCTGTGTTCAATTTCTAGTAATCCATGCAAATCCTCCATCCCGTGACTGTACGAGTCGAGATCAACTCGTTATTCTCATTTTGTACTACCGTCATTCCTCCCTTTTTTGGCACACATTGAACTGGGCTGACCCAATTGCTGTCAGAGATGGGGAAGATGATACCCGCATCTAACCATTTGATCACTTCCTTCTTCACCACCTCTTTCATATTTGGGTTCAGCCTTCGTTGATGTTCTTTTGAAGGTTTGTGCCCTTCTTCCAAGAGAATCTTGTGCATACAAAAAGCTGGGTTGATACCCTTTATGTTCGCCATGGTCCAACCAATGGCAGTCTTACATTCCTGTAATACACGTAGGAGCTGCTCTACCTGCACATCTAGCAAACCGGATGATATAATAACAGGCAAAGTAGAATCAGGCCCTAAGAAAACGTACCTGAGGTGAGCTGGGAGCGGTTCAGCTCCAGTTTGGGTGGTTCCTCTACTGATGGTTTTGCCGGTGGTGTAGCCCTCTTTTCTAACTCAAGGGACTCGAAATGAGGTTCCCTCTTCTAGAATCCTTGGCCTTCGGCTGTCATGACCCACTCAGCCAACCCTTCACTATCCATCTCCTCTAAATTTGTCAGGCAAGCCTCTAATGGATCTTTAGCAGTCAGGGTCACATCATCTTCGTGCAAGATCACATCCACTGCCTCCAGTAGGGAGCAATTAGCATATTCACTGGGTCTCCTCATGGATTGCTGAACGTTGAATATGACTTCTTCATCGTTCAATCTCATTTTTAATTCCCCAGTTTCACAATCGATCAGTGCTCTCCCAGTGGCTAAGAATGGCCTCCCTAAAATGATAGGTATCTCCTCATCTACCTGGCAATCCAAAATAACAAAGTCTGCAGGGAACACAAACTTCCCTACTTGTACCAACACATCATCAAGAATCCCTGTCGGCCTTTTAACCGTGCGGTCAGCCAGTTGCAAAAGCATCAAAGTCGGTCTAGCTCTGCCAATGCCCAGTTTGGTATATATGGCCAGAGGCATCAATTTTATGATGGCTCTAAGTCACATAATGCCTTTGCAAAGGCATAACTCCCAATAGTGCATGGGATAGTAAAGCTACCTGGGTCAGACATCTTTTGAGCCATGGGTCTTGTCACTACTGCATTGCATGTCTGTGTCAAAGTTACTGTGGATAGGTCCTGAAAATCAAACTTTCATGACATTAGGTCCTTCATCAACTTTGCATAGCCTGGCATCTCCCTCAAAGCATCCATCAGAGGAATATTCAATTGAATTTGACGCAGCATCTCCATAAATTTCCTGTATTGATCTTCCTTCTTTTGTTTTGCCAGTCTCTGAGGGAATGGTGCAGGCATCACCCTTTGTGCATTGTTTGCTGGCTTCTCTCTATTGTGGTTCTGTGGCACAGGAGGTACCACCTGTTCTGCAGCTTGCTCACTCACTTTAGCTTTACCCTTATCATGTTGAACCTGTTCAACCACCACTTCAGTAAGTTCTGCTGATTCATCTACCTCCTATGGAACTGGAGTGGTTGGCGTAGTCTCCTTGCTGAATTGTGCAATTTCTTGCTCCCTGTATAAATCTCTCCCATTCCGGAGACTTACTGCCATCAGCTGATTCGGGTTTTGCTCCTTGGGGTTAATGTTCGTGTCTGCTGGCAATGTTCCCTGGGGGCGGTTGTTTAAGGCCATAGACAGCTACCCCATTTGAGTTTCAATGTTCTTTATCGCTGAGTCATGCACTGCCAACTTTTCCTGCATCTTACCATTTGTTCCAATAAGTTGTTGAAGCATACCCCTGATCTCTACCATGTTATTATCTTGTTGCTGAGGAAGTGGCTGATATGTCAATTGTTGTTGGTTCTGTTGTGGATAGCCATGTTGTCTCTGATATGGCACCACTGGGCCTTGGGGCTGCATACCTCCAGGTTGTGGCATGTTTGGTCTGTACTGCTGATTGGGTGTTGGTCTCCACTGTTGTCCTCCTTGTCTATGACCCCCCAAAGTTGTTGACATAATTCATATCCTCTCTTAACCCTTGGTTGTCACCTTCTCCACTCCGTGAACACACATAAGACTGATTAACGCAGGGTGTACACAGTCCTCCATTTGTTGTGTCAACAATATGCACTTGCTTTGTACCCATCTCATCAATCTTCTTTGTCAATATACTCATCTGAGTCATGAGTGTGGCTATGTTCTCTGCATGCGAATTATTTGGGTCAAGAGGAACTGAATGCACTATGGGTGTCAGTGTTGTACCTCTCGTCATCCACCCTGAATTCTGAGACATCTTGTCAAGAAGGAATTTGCACTCGGTGAATGTCTTACTCAAAAATGCACCTCAGCTGAAGCATCTACATTGGCCTTTAGATTGTCAGCTAACCCCATGTAGAACCTCTGGCCGAGCATCTGGTCTGGTGGGGACACTTCACTGGCATCCCCTTGAATCTTTCCCAAGTTTCCTGCAAGGTCTCAGTCGGCTACTACTTCTACTGCAATATTTCATCAATCTACCTTGCAGTCTTATTGGGCGGGTAGAACTTATTCAGGAACTGCTTGACTAATTCCTCCCAGGTGACAATGGAATTTATTGGGAGCGAATTCAGCCAAGTCTGAGCTTCCCCAGTCACAGAGAACGGGAACAGTAACAACTTGATAGCTTCTGTGGTCACATTTGGCTGCCTTTGGGTCACACAAATCGACAAAATTTTTTTCAAGTGTTGTTGAGGGTCTTCAATGTGTGACCCGGAGAACAATCCCTTATTCTGCAGAAGATGCAGCATGTTGTTGGTGATTTGGAATGTCTCCGCTTGAATTGGGGGCACTGCTATGGCAGTTGCCAGGTTGTCAGCTGTGGGTTGTGCCCAATCATAAAGTGCAGCTTCTGGCACAAGAGGTGCCACTACTCTGACGTTTGGGTCAGCTGGCTCATCCCTGATGTTTCCATTAACGTTCTCTACGTCACCCATGTCAATTTCAAGTTGGTGTGTTTGTTGTGATTGTTGGATCCTCTTGTTAGCACGGTTCAATGACCTGAATGTTTTCTCGGGGTCTGAGCGTCCTTCAAGCAGTTCTCCAGTCCTCGAAGAATTTCTAGGCATACACCTGAATCCCACAAGATTTCAAACGTGAGAATTTCAATGAACAAAATTGTTTAACACCTTCGAAAATTGATTTAAACTAATAGTTCTGGCACTACTTCTAAGTTGTAATAAATAACACCGTTAATTCCCCGGCAACGGCGCCAAAATT